GAAGAAAAAAACCTATATTAATCTCATAAACTACCTACTATATAAGGCAGAACCTGAAATAAAGTATTACTATGAATGGTTGATATCTATGATGCATTGTTTCCTTTAATTTTTGATAAATAACTCTTCATGATTTTTTTTTCCTTCCAAAAGAGAACAATTCCCTTCCTGTTTTAGAATACCAATTACTTAGAACCCTAATAGGGTTATTTTATGGTATTTTCATAGTCATTCATTAAGCAATATGTTAAATGCCATGCTAATATATTCAACCTCTGTACTCCAGCAACATCTTGGGTTTACAGGAATAAGATGTGAGGTATACCAGAAAAACTGCCTTTTGAGGTCTCAGTTTTCAATATTTTGGGCATAAGGAATTATAAGATAAATACTTTCTCATTTGAGAAGAAAGAACAAAAGAAAATAGGCAAGAATAAAAAAGTGAACAAGATGAAGAATGGAGGAGAAACAGTCAAGTGAGAAGTGATGAGGATGGTAAAGGAAAGGAGAAAAAAATGGAATTAGAAAAAAAACCTTAAAAATAAAGACAACAATTTAGTAAATTTAAAAAGACAGAGAGAGAAAGAAAGGGAACATCTGGTGTTAGTCAATATCATGGTATTGATTCCATTCAATAAGCCACTCCTTCCTGCTGAAGTTCAGGGACTGGGCCGTAGGGTGAGAGGGAGGGGAGGAGAGGGGAGAGCTGGGCTTTAATGGGTCACCACATTCTGTATCCATTCTGATGATGCTGGTTTCCCTTGTAAACAGCACTCTCCTGTTCTGGGGTTAAAGGAACAAGACGGTGAGGACAAAATCAAAACGGAGAGACTAGAGGTGAGAATAAGAGAGAATAAGGAAGACACCTTTGAGAATTATATAAATGAAGTTAGAATGACTTTTTCAGATGACTCAGTAGTCCTTTAATATGTTCCCTTTCCCCAGCCCCCACTGCCACCACCTGTAAGTCTTGTTGAGCAATGTTTACCATTTGGTGGGTAATAAAAAACACTAGCTTATAGTACTCATCTTCCATTTCTCACTAATCAATGTCCTACATCCCAACTATTTGCTGTAATCTATCTTTTTGACTCTCCCAACCTAGTTATTTTCCACTCCAGTAGCCTTTATAGCAACATATATTAAACCATTTCATGCAAGAATGTAGTCACCAGGTTCCAGAAGACCTTTCAAAATAATAGTGAATATGTTTTAATATTTACACAAAATGAAAGGAAATTTTCCAAATGCTGCATTCAACCACCACATACCCCACTCCTTTTAACTGATATTCCTAAGAAGAAAATATCTGTTTTTAGTATGGATAGAATCTTTAAAACACTTACACACCAAAAACAGTATTAACAAAATTTAACAGATTCATTAGGAATATGCCTCAATAGATTTAATAACTATAAGTAGTCTCATCAGCTAAAAAAACGTGTTAAAAGTGCATCATGAGGGCAGAGTTGCTGGTTCAAACTATGCCGAGGTATCTCCCAGAGAGAGGGATGTAGTGGCAGATGAAGTGGAAAAAATCTTGGGAGATTCCAGCAGCTTTGAGGAGTTGGATCTTCACTGGCAGGGAAGACATGCAATAGGACTCAGTCTGCTTTGCTTGGATGTTCATGATTTTTTCTTCTTCCTACCTGGCAGCCACAGTTTCTCAGCCACAGAAGTATGTTGATTTGAAAAGCTTAAAAGCCATTTATAATAAAGAATATAGCAATATGAAAAAGGACATAAAATTTCCAGTTTCATTTCAAATAAGAAAATATACTTTTTAAAAAGAGAGCAAACTAGAAAATACATACATCTAATTGGACATCTTGAAGATATACCATACTAGCAATTTCAAAAAAATAGTATTTGAATTCATCTGTGAATCATTCAACTTTCTCAGACCCCTAGGGAAAAATTTCAAGATGCTTTTCTATGTATTTTAAAATAAGAAAAGTTGTCAGATTTTATATTGTATATTACTACCTTTAGCAGTAGGAAATTTTAGAATTACAGAAAAATACTAACTGGGATAATAACAATCAAAACATAAGACTGAACATTACTCTTCATTATTGAATCTAAATTGGTATAGAACAATATTGGCAATTATCTTGCTATTCTGGTCAATTAATTACTGGATTAAAAAATAATATTAAGTATTTCAAATGTATTAGGCCACTCCTTAATGTAATTATTATATCATAACCAACCCCTAATGTCTCTGGTAATTAATGGAGGGACAGAAGGAGCAATTGTAGACTACAAATAATTTATACTTGTTTCAACTCATTTATCTACCTACCAAACCTTTTATAGTAACAAAACCCAGATAATTTCCATTTCATCACCTCTGTATATTGTCTAGTAAGAAGTTAAAAGCACTGTACAGACCAAAAAGGAGGCAACAGCAAGAAAGAGCAGACTAGGCTGCATTTAATAAAATGAGCCATTCTTACACAAATAGGCCTCTCATTTGAACACAAAGAAGACAATCTGGTAATTGATCACATTATTAAGGAAGGCTACTTTTAGGGAATTCAACATATTCTCCTGTCAGAGAATGTCTCTGTTATCATCCAAAATCAATTTGTAGGTTCTAGTAGCATTCTGCCGAGACACCAGACTCCAATTGGCCCAAGAGTTGTTGCAGGTAAAAGCGAGGAAGGTAGGTTGGAAAGTTAATTTTTATTGAGCTCTTAATGTGTGCCTGGCATTGTGATAGGTGTTTTACATATATATCTGAAGGAAAGGAGTGAGGAAGTAGCAATAAAGTTAAATTTCTAACCCATTTCTAATTTCACTCCAGCTGATTCACTGCCTTGGTTATGTAAATTCTCACTTCCTTTCCTCTTCTCTTACCCTTGGCCCCCCTCCCCCTTAATCTCTCACTGAATCATGAGTTTTACTTACATGATCATTAGAATTCTTCTCCTTTTGCTTGATAATTTTATAATTTGAGTTTGGGGAGGTAGTATAAAACTGAAGGCCTTGGAGTCAGAGAGCTTTGAGTTGCAGGCGAGTTAATCATTCTGAGTCTCAATTTCCACATATACCTTTTTTGTATAATTATTTTAAGTAGTAAATGACATAAAATATGTAAAGTACTTAACATGATGCTTAGCACACTGTAAGAACTCAGTAAACGTTGGCTATGGTTATTATTATAAAAAGGTAAACTGATGCTTAGTTACTATGATTCCCTTAAAGTCAAAAGTCAATTTCAGAGCAAAAACTGGAAGCAAGTTCCCCCAACCATCATTCTGGATCACTTTCAATATTTTAGAATATTCCTGTGATGCAAAGATGTATTTATACATTCTCACAGTATTTAAGTATCATCAATCTATATAGATTTTATCAGTTCACTTGTAGTCCCTTAAAGACTTTCGTATTCATTTGGTCAACATCAAAATCTTTGCCCCACAAAGAGTATCCTTTAAACAATTTTATTTTTCATTAGAGACTAATTCCACCTACTTAGAATTGACCAACTGGAAATTGGTCCAACTATCGAACAGATGTCATATTTGTTCAGATCACATGCAAAAATGGAGGCAGCATGAACATTACAAGAGGGAGAAGCTGCCTGTCTACTGAAGCAGCTGCTTTATCCCACTGCCCAAATCCTCTTCCTAGGGGACAAGAAACTTAAGTTAGGACAAACACTTTGTATAGTTTCTAGTAATGACAACTTTCTCATTATCAAAACTGTCATAGTGTGGAAAGGCTTTGCTGATGACCAGAATTCTGCATTAATTATTATTAACCTAACACCTATACGTTTAATTTTTTTAAACTTTCATTAATTTTTATTCACTTAGTTAATGAACTCATTGAAGAAACAGTGTAATTTTAATTATCAGTGTTCAGGAGCCTCTCCACAATATCATAAAATTCTCAGTTTACTCAAAGCCAAAGATGAAATATCTTCTGCCTTCATACCAGAATCAGTGAGAAAGACTGGAGTTTTTCACACCAGTCTTCTTATCCCCAAAATACAGACTTTCCTTTTAATAGTTTCTTCTATGACTAGAACAGGCAAAAACAAATTTAGTTAAAAGGTACAATAGGTAATAATTATTCACTCTGAAGGATTAGTGAGCTATAAGTAGAATATTTATCAGAAAAAACCTCCACATTTTTTGCAAATGAAGTTTATTATATTAATAATCAGATTTTCACTTCATTTGTTTTAGAGAATATACTTTATTTTGGCAGATATAGAAGAAGAAAGTAAATCAGCTGAGACAGAAAACAGCCCAGAGTGAAAATTATATGATGTTCATTTTCTAAAACTAACATTAAAGAAAACAGCCCTTGGAAGTCTACCCTAGACACAAAAATGCCACTGTCAAGATCTTAGCCTAGAAAGGGATTCATGAGGTTCACAGAGCAAGAAAATTTTATGAACTTATTTAGTTACATGCAACAGTTTTAAAACAAAAACTGTAGTCTTCTTTTGGGAAATGAAGAGCCAATTTGGCTATTAATTTTTAAATTTGTTTAAAAAATCAACATTTAAAATAAACCAATCTACTAGAAACTTCAGTGAACAAATCAATGTTAAAGCAGATGAATGAACGTATGCCCTTACAAAACATACCTACTAGGAAATTCCATAGTTTGTGAAGTAAAACTTAAAAGTTTTATCCAGAAAAGGTTGAATTTGTGTGCATCATCACTTTAATTTTTAGCCCAAAATTATTATCTCAGGTCATGGGGTATATGGCATTAACCTGCACCTGTCTATATAGAAATGCATATCTAACCTCAGCCAACACGAGTATTTCCAAGTCTGGTATTAAAACTATGGTTTTTTAAAAACTATGCCTTATCTTCTGTCAAATAATTAAGAATACTGATTCAGCTATCTGAAAAAAGGCTATTCAATCATTTTGTACACAAACAGGAGTTTTTATTTCATTGATATCCTTTTAAAGCTTTAGCAAATCTTTATATTATTTCCTCCCACTGACTCATAAGGTAATTATACATACCACAGTCTGATGATTAACTTGAATCACTTCATCGCCAGCATGGATTTTCTTGCACCGATCTGCAGGTGACTAAATTTAACATAATGGAAATGATAAAGAACATAAATTTTATCACTCATTTCTTTTCCCTGGAAATACTACAATAAGTTCACCTCTTTAGATCAAGAAATTATTTAATCTTGAAAAAATTAAACAAAAATGACTACTAGTGTTTAATATATTGTTTGCACTCTACAGATAACTAATAATAGAAAGTAGGATTTACTTTAAAAAATGATTTCCAGTTTATTTTTCATTCACTTCCAATTTCCAATTATTTCAAAACAAGTCTTGAAACAATATTAACCTCTATCCAACAAATTTTGAAATTCACAAAAGAATGATCTATCATAGGTCAGAATTCAAGGTAAGATAATATTCCAGAGAATTCCAGTTACTCAAATAATAACACAAGTATACTCTTAAGAGGGTAGTTCATCTAGGATATGAACTCAACCCTCAGAATGGTATCATAACAAGAAAACAATGTATTTTTATTCACAGCACCTTTAGGAGGTAGGTATATTATCAAAGCAGATAAGTACCATGCAACAATTCTGAAAAGTGTGTAAATCATTACTATAATAGGGCTGTCCCTGTGCTGTCTGGCTTACAATTGATCTTTTTAAAGGAGAGTATAGAAGAAAAATATCAAGCCAATGGTTCTAATCATGGTGTAAAAGAAAATGATAGTTGGTATATAAAATTGAAAGAAACTGAGACAACTTCTTTCCCAGATAAGTAAAAAAGGGAATAAGTCATATAAATTATAGACTTTCAGTGTTAAATGGGACCCTAGAGATCATTTTGTCTGAACTTCTCATTTTACCTAAAAGAAAACTAAGAAACTAGGGCAGAGCAAAGCAAAATAACTTAACCACTTTAGTGAGCAGATTTACTAAGACTCAACAGAGATCTACTAATGATAAATGACTGAGGGTACCAAAAAGAGTAAAACATTTTCAAGAATAAAGAATTAAATGATAAGCCATTAATATATGGTTCATATCTAAACTATTCATAGAATCAATCTTTCTTTGATCACTCACCCATTTATCAAATATTACTGAGTAATTAATATGAACAGTACATAGTACTCCACTTTTTTATAGACCCCAGACAATACAGAGATGCATTTCTATAAATTCTTCAAGATATAGCTCAAAATCATTTGTGATTATTTCTCTAGTTTCATTGGCAGCATTTATGATTCTTTCCTTTGTCTACACAAATTTCAGTGCCTGTTTACACACATAAACCCCTAGTTGCATTCCTTAGGAACAGCAAACTAGTTTAGTTTAAAAATTCCTTCAATACCTAGCCCCATGCCTGGAACATAGCAGACATGAAACAAAAGTTTGTTACAAGGACAAATGAATAAATGAATGATTGGGGGAATGTACAAACAAATGAGAATGATGAATCAGTGATAGGAGTATCATTTACAGTATTTCACTGCTTTAAAAATTTTAATTGGTTGACAATATGCACATTACTGATATTTCTAACCCCATATTTAATACCAAATGTGAAGCCAGTATAGCAATCCAACTGCAATGTATATTATGTATTTCACTATTCTCAAGAAACCAAGAGAAGTTAGTGGGAAAAAAGCAATAAATGATTAAAGGACTAAGTGAATTAGATGAAAAGAATGTTGATTTTTTTTTAAAAGAAAATGCCGGTAAAATATTGAGATCTATGACAACTTGAAATTAACTAACTCCACCCCAGTCTTCTTTGAAGGAACACAGCATAAACATGTAATTGGTCAGAATTTCGAAAAGAAAAAAAAAATTCAAAGCTCAGCACCTGCTTAAGAGTAAGATGGAAGTCTGGGACAACCAAATGGAGGAATAATGATTTATTATACTATTCAAATCTATTTTAGTGATCATGTTCAGGCTCAACACAATCACTTTACATTTCTGTAGCTCTTTATTGCAGAGCCTTTCACATTTATTACTTATTTTCACATCAACCTAGTGAGGTATGTAGTGCATATAATATTTCCAGTTTATAGTTGAGGAAACTAAAGCAATGGCAGGGTAAGTGACTTGTCAAAAATTACACTGCCATTAAGATGCAGAACTAATTGTAGGTCCTAGGCCTAGGGACTCTGACCCACTGCTTGCAGTGGTTCTCAAACTTCAGCATGTCTTAGAATTACCTGTTAAAACAAAATCTCTTGGGGCACCTGGGTGGCTCAGTTGGTTGGGCATCTGCCTTTGGCTTGGGTCACGGTCCCAGCATCCTGGGTTTGGGCCCCACATCAGGCTCCCTGCTCAGTGGGGAGCCTGCTTCTCTCTCTCCCTCTGCTGCTCCCCCTGCTTGTGCTCTCTCTTGTGTATATGCTTTCTCTCTCAAATAAATAAAATCTTTAAAAAAAACCCAAAAATAAAAAACAAAATCTCATTAAGAAACAGGCTGGTCTCCAGAATTTCTGATTCAGTAGTTCTGGTGGGGGGGGCAAGAATATGTATCTCTAACAAGTTGCCAAGGGAAGCTGATGCTACTGATCCAGGGAGGGACCTCACTGTGAAAACCAGTGAGCTATACCATGCTGTCTCCTCACTGAATTAAGCTGAATTATAATGCATATTCAGAAAGCCTGAATTATCTGATGTTTCTTTCTTATATAAGTTTCTTAACATAACTAAACTATTTGACAGATGGAAGTGGATTCTTTTAGATGTCACAGTAACTTGTCATAAACCAGAAAATACTTAACAAAGACAAATCTCTGGCTGTGAACAGAAAACATCTGATTTACTCTGAGTAAATAGTTACTCTAAACTAAATAAAATGATTGAAATTCTTCCCAAACCAACACTTACTAACCCAATGTGTCCTTTTAGTTTTTTCCTCTTAATCTGTTCATGTCCTCAGAAGTCAACCTCAATTACGTGAGATATATGTTGTTTAACAATAAAAAGAAAAACACCCTATAATCTGAAATGTTATAATACTTACATTTTCTGTAGTTCCAGTAATTACATGGAGGCCATCATATGTTGATTTAATATACATACCCTAGAAAAAGACAGCATCAAAAAAAAAAAAAAGTGAAGCGACTGGAATGTTTTCAAGTATATTACACAATCATTTACAAAAAATTATCCTATCAAATTGCCACATACTCCATGATTCCATATTCAATAATGCCAACTTTAAACTAGTAAAAAATTCCTATCTGAATGTTCTGGTTTCTAGAGTTTGCCCGAAGAAGCCTGTCCTCCACTTAATCAAATAACTACTTGATAAGTAAATTGCCTGTGAAACTTATAAAATGTAGCATGGTAATTCAATATTCTTGAAGAAAGAATGCACCTCACTCCCCCAACAGTCCTTACTATTTGTTCTGTGGCAAAATAAAAGTAATAATGGGAAATTCAAATATTGGTTATTAGCGTATTATAGTTGATACATATTACACAACAAAGAGTAGTTTCTATAGAGCCACTTCAACTACAACTAACTAGAGACAGAAGAGTGATAAAATATTGTTAATGTAAACTTTTTCTCCATCTCTTTTGTGAAATCCTGTCTTTCCTGCCTTTATTTTCATTGATGAAGTTTTAATAATTATATCCAACACTTCTATATCAATAATTAAGAGGTAATGTGTGGCAAGCCCTCCTCCTAACAAAAAGGGTAAGATTCCATTTCCCATTTAAATAAAGCCATTTTAGAAAATGCTTTATTACATTTTAAAGATTATCTAGAAATCCTGAAATTATGTCAGCTTTATGAGCAAACAAAAACTTTAAATTATGGACAGTGGGAGAACTTGAAAGGGAAAAAAATCACAAGAATATATACACATTGTAAATGTTAAAATATTTTCATTTAAGTAAAAAAAAAAGGATGGGGAAAAAAAGATTTTTCTTCCTCTCTAAGGAAGATTGTTACTTTTCTCTGGGAAAAAATTACCCAGGCTTTACTTACACAACTGCCTTGCATTTCAAAATATTGATTAAAAAATAAAAAATATGAATTTTAATGAACTCAAAGTCTAAAATATAATGGACTTAACAATAACCAACAATATTATTTCAGAAAAGCATTAATTTTAGCACTTATATAGACAATTACTACAATGTTAATTTCCCATACCTTTAGGTTAATTACATATTTAGATAACTGAATGTACATGTATTTCATTGGAAATAAGTAAGAAATAAAAACAAGAAGCAGTAAAGTTCATGGGGTGGTACTATTAAAAAACTGGGTAGGCGTGAATTCTGCAGTCATTTCAGTAATGTCTTATGTCTAAAATGTTGGTACCTGTTCCAAAAATGGATAAGCCTGGATCACTAACATGAAAGAAAATGAATGTGATTTAAAAGGTGTTCATTTACCTGTGAACTCTAGTATTTTAAATGCAACTTCATTATTTCATATAAAATAAATAACCTCAACGGAAGTACATATAGAAATTAAGAAATTGGCTAGCTGTTGTTGCCTATGACCATGTGGTAATATTCAACCCTACACTGGTGACAAGTGTACAGCATACTTACTTTTTAAGTTCATACTTATTCCATTATTTATGGGAGGGTAAATATAATGATGCCATTATAGAACTTAGAAGAGGACAAGATCCTTGTCATCATCTTCCTCCAGGAATTAACAAAATTACAATAGATTAATAAAGACTCTCAAAATATATTTGTAAGAGCTAAACACTAAATTTTGTCTCAGGACTGTGAAGGACTGTGAGAGAATAAAGTGGGAAAAGACAGGGAAAGAAACAGTATATATTACTTGGACATACAAAACAGCCATCACTTATCATTCTCTATCACCATCATCACGGAAAGCTACTGGTTACAATGTACCAGGGACTGTTTTACTTCACAATAGCCAATGTGGTATAAACTATCATTACTCCTGTTTTATTTTTTTTAATATTTTATTTATTTATTTGAGAGAGCAAGAGCACGAGAGGGGGGAGGGTCAGAGGGAGAAGCAGACTCCCTGCTGAGCGGGGAGCCTGATGCAGGGCTGGATCCTGAGACTCCAGGATCATGACCTGAGCCGAAGGCAGACGCTTAACCAACTGAGCCACCCAGGCGCCCCTCATTACTTCCGTTTTAGAGATAAAGAAACTGAGGCACAAAGAAGCTGGGGAGTCTGCCCAAGGTGGTGAGGCCAGGTTTCAAGCCTAAGCAGTCTGACTCCAGACTACACTTTCAACCACTAGGCTCCTGATTTATCGATTTATTAATAGGACAGTTGTGCACCTTCACTTTTCTTATTATAACATAATATTTGGCAACTGTAGGTATTAAAGTCAACTATTCGCTGTTTAACATCTATGCTAAAAGACTGAGACCTGTTTAGCACACATGTACTATGTGCAATGTGGTTATAAAGAGTAACTGGGTCTCCTATTTTACAAATTTATTTTATTGCCCCATCTCCTCTGAAAGTGGTAGGCAGAAGTTGATTATGTTTCTCTCTACATTTCTTTCAACACTGCGTATTGCTGATTATGAATTCAGATATTTGACAAGAGCTCTAAATTGTCTCATTAATGATTAGGTCATAGAGAAAGTCTAATATCCTAAGATAAATGTTTAGAAAAGGCAATATAGTCATGGAGATAATAAAAACTCATGGACATAATCTAGTTGTGCCTCTGGAAATAAAATTTGTGTGCAATTATTACACACACCAGGAACCTCAAAAGTGGCAACTGTAAGCTAAAGCAGGTATCTGTTATTTAAAGGAAGAAAATCTCATCATTATTTACATATAATTAAATGCTATATGACATTAAAGTTAATTTTTTCAGATGGATAAAAATATTTTTAAAATGCTTAAATAAAGGAGGATCTAACTATGTATACAGAATTCAATTCTAGTAACCTCACAGAAGCAATTTTAAAACCGCCACAAAGAACGAAGATATTGTTTTATTCAATATTTTCATTTTTAACCTTAATAAGCCACTTGTTGTAAATGCTTTTAATAATCAAAACTGACTTCATTCTTTTTATTTCCCTCTGGTAGTATTAATGAGAAAAATGGCCAAAAAAGTCAGGTACCCAAAGAAAGTAAAAGAAGCAAGTTGCTTGGATGAGGTTTCAAATTAACCATCTTCCAAATAATGAAGAGTCCACAGAACTACAGCTGATCACTTGTTCATCTCTGAGAAAGGGTCAAACAGCAGGACATGTAATTCAAATGGTTCTTTTTCTGGAACTGAGACAAATCTGGTCTTCCATTTCATCAAAACCTTTATTCTTCCTTCTTTCTTCTTTTTTCTTTAAACAATTAATTAATTCTGGAGCTGACTTAAACAGCTCCCTCTTTCCTGCTTAGCTTGCCAAAATGACATTTGCTTCACTTGGTCTCCAAATGTCAGTTAACCAATGGGAGCCAAAGCAACCTTACAGTCAAGTCAATAGAATAAGGCATATTTGAGGATAATCTAAGTTTCTAACAGCAAAAGAGCTCTCTGAGGCCAAGAGGCTTCCCCAAGGATGTCCCCCCAAGCCCCTTCCTCTCTGTTCAACTCATCTCTTGGTTCTGATCTAGTTTTGATATGTTCCAATAGCTCTCATTCTCCCTCCTTTAATTTTCTGCTAATCATCGTGGTTTAAAAGAATTTTAGAAGCTAGTTGCATATTTAATCATAACAAGTACATTTCCCATCATTCGTTATAATGCTTAGAACTCTCAAAACTAAGAAATCCTAGGGGATTTTACTAATTAGGTAGAAAGCTGATGAACAATCTATCCAGTTTATCAGTGGAAGAAAGAAGCAATTACCTTTTGCCTATGAAAGAGGTTGTTTTGAAACTCGCAGAAACCTTCTGCAGCTAATTAAACTTCCTTAAAGCTTGGTATTCTCCCACCTTTATTTCTTTCCTTCATTTACCATTTAGACATTTCCTATGGCTAAGCACATGCTAAATATTACCAAAATCCTGAGATCTATTTATTTCAAATATGACTGAGTAAACTTGCTTAATGGTATCTGATTTTTAAAATGATTCCTTGAAAAAATCATAAAAATTTCTATTTAGGCATCTCTTTAACATGAATCACAAGAAATAGTTTTTATTTCACTTTTTTAAAGATTTTATTTATTTATTTGACAGAGAGAGACACAGCGAGAGAGGGAACACAAGCAGGGGGAGTGGGAGAGGGAGAAGCAGGCTTCCCGCCGAGCAGGGAGCCCGATGTGGGGCTTGATCCCAGGCCCTGGGATCATGACCTGAGCCGAAGGCAGATGTTTAACCAACTGAGCCACACAGGAGCCCTTTATTTCACTTTTTATTTATTTTCAACATTTTGGATTTTTCTTTTCCTCCCTTGGAAATATTTTCCCAGTGAAGTGCTCCCAATTGTCCTTTAAAAATGATTTCTCTAGGTGGTTCCAGTTTTAAAGTTACCCTCTTAAATCTCTCACACTTCCCTTTGGCAATTCCAACTTTAAATGTGGGATAATGGAACAAGCTTTGTTAAGATGTACTTTATGGAGATATACCTGGACTTAACTCTGCCTCTATTGTATATTACCTATGTGACACAGGGCAAATTGGTGAAGATCTGTGACTCCATTTTTTCATTTGCAAAATAAGAAAGTATCTACTCTAAAGAGTTGTGAGAAAATACTTGACAAATGGTAAGCACTCAGGTATTTTCTTTTCCAGCTCTTTCTCAGACTAACTGAATCTGGTTATTAGCATTTTAAGATCACGACTGTTTCAAAGGCTGGACCCAGATCTATCCCTTCCAAATTCAAAAAATAAAAGACATGTCCAAGGCTATACCTCTTTCATTGAAAACAAGTCAAGATTTCATAACGTCAATTAGCACTGTACTGACTCACTTCATATGGTTACTATTTCCCATGATTTCAGTGGAAATTAGTGGGGGAAAAAATCAGGCTCTTTTCTCCAAATCCTGTCCTTAGCACCACAGACTCACAGAGCTAGAGGAAGCCTTAAGGTTGATCCAGTCCACCCTCCCTTCCCGACCCCAACATTCTACACATGAAAGTAGCAAGGCCAAGGAGGTTAAATTTACTCCTCCACCTCCTCAAGATCACACTCACAGCTATATTTTATGTAAGTGATTTGTATCCAGGTGTCCTGACTCCTAGTCTAATATAATATATATTAATTCTTAATTTCCCACTCTACAAATCATGCTGAGACAGCTTCCTTTCCTTTATAACTACTGAAAAAGGAAATATAGAAAGGAAACTCTTCAATATTATAGGTTGAAAGATGCTTTAAATGAAACTGGACTGTGTAAAGATAACCAAAAGGAATAGTAAGAATTTAAGATTATAAATACTACTTCAAATAAGTTTATAAATGCTAAAAATAAGCTCTTAAAATTAAAATTATATATTACACTTATAAGCTATGATGATGACATACTTGCTGACATAATGATTTCCATCTTCCTAGGAAAACACTGATAAAAGCCACAAAAGCATGAAAAACTATAGTTACCAAAAAGTAATTTGCCAAGTATCAGCAGAAAAGTCACTCTATTGAATAGATGGCCTCACTCTGAAAATTCACTGTTAGGAATTGAAGAAAAGCCACATAAATATTAAACTTGTTTAGAGGTCTTTAAGAATATTAGCTGAACTATATTATTTCCAAGATTTCTATTTTCTAAAATATCAATAATTATATCCTAGGAAAATTCATCCACAGGGAGAAAGTAGAAACACTGTAGCACCAAACTAATAAGCCATGGTTGTGTAGTGGGTAAGATGTTCTCCAGCCAGTTTCTTGCTTTCTGTCCCTCTCTCTCATTAATATTAATTTTATGTGCTTTCTTCCTAGAGGCCTACTAAAGAAAAAACTCTCCTTTGGGTTAAATTTAGAATCAATACAATTTTTAATCAAGTGAACAAAATATAGAAGATGATTATCTTTATTATTACATAATAAAAAATACATCTCCTAGATGTCAGCCTGGTTTTGGCAAAACCCACCTGCTTACTCACCCTTGTAAGAAAGAACGGATGTGAGTTATAAACAATATCGGGTTTGTCTAGCTTACACAACCTAAGGGAAAAGAGTCCTATTAAAACCACAACAAACCAAAGCAAAACAAACAAAACACCTACTTGCAAGGGCAGGTAACACTGGTTCTTAGTATAAAACTCTTAAACTTCCTTTAAACCTAAGGAACTTTGGTAGGGGGTGAAAGAACGTAATAAAAGCTAATTTAATACCAAAGTAAACAAGATAATTTAGAAATCTCATTTTAAATTCTCTTTCATTTTCATTTATCTTCATAAAACTTCTTATAGTGACAAACTCCCACTACTTTAATTTATCCCTAGAAAAAAAATACCAAAATATTCAAAGTTCGTTAGAATTTATGGATTCCCATATTTGGATGCCGCTTTGCCTACATCATTAGCTGTCCACTGATGGATGGTGGCTTTGACAAACATGGTAGCTCTTACCAGCCCTTCACTTGGTTTGATGTTTGCCAGCTGAATCACTTCTAGGTGTGCAGACTGTGAAACCAGAGGATCCGATGACAGGGATATGATGTGGTCACAGACTCCAGAAAGAGTTTTACACTGAAAGAAAAAAATTATGGTAAACACATGTTGTTTGTAACATATGAATCACTTTTTGTTTTGTTTTAACGTTCTTACAAGGAAAAATAAAAGAAATAGAAGTAGTTAACATTTTAGTCTATAAAATCTGCATAAGAAAGATATTCAGGTGAAAAAATACACACACACACACACACAACACACCTATATTCTAAATTATGGATATAGGAGCTAAACATCGAAGTATTCAAGAAAGTTATGGGTTTGTTTCTATTATTTTATTATTTGATTTGTCAGACGTAAAATCAAAGATTGTTTCTAAACAAGCTTAATAATCTGAAAAGTTCTTGATAATAACCATTGGATTGAACTGAACTCAATAATTTCCAAAACACCGATGATCATGATCAGAAAAGTTTAAAAAAAATCCAGTCAATGACCAGGAAGATGAATCTTCCAAATCTGCTCAGTGAACTCCTTCTATTTATTTGTCTAGACTTTACTGCTTAAGGTTACCTTAGTATAAAGTTTCCTACCTCCTCCAGGCAAAGTTCACCACTTTCTCAATACTGGTTTCTCAGCATTCTGTGAAGTCTGCAATTGTCTAATTTCATTCTGAAGCCCTCCGGAGGCAGGAACCACGTCCTACTCATCTCTGACTTCTCTTCCTCCCCTCCCCCTACCAACCACCCACAGCAGGTAGAGAGATCCTACAACATATAAGGTACTCAATAAATACGAGCCGAATAAACTGAAGAGCAAATGAGATTTAACACTTATTAGAGCGCCTGGATTGAGGACAGAAAGCCAGTACTTTAGGTTAGGATAAATCCATTCATGCTGCTTACAGAACAGATTTAAAATGTTACATCCATAATGATATGGTTAAGAGTTAGACATGGTAAAATCATGAAGAATGTGGAACATAAGTGAATGAAGCTTGGCGTATACTCCCCTCACATATGTTGGCCCTTAGATGCTTCAGACTCTCGCTGTACTTACTGAAACCTGGTGTCCATCATTTGGTTTATTATTATTATTATTATTATTATTATTTTACCTTTATTGTGGGAAGAGCCATTATTTTGCAGCAATCAAGGTGTGTTCTTCTATCCATTTCCAAGATGTCACACTTGTTCTGTGACCACTGCATTGCTCTATTGTTAAGGGAGACAGTTCTCTCTGCCTGGTCAAGATAATAAGGACTCTCTTTTTATTTGCTGCATTCTGTACATGGCCCATGGCCTCTCAGTCTGTGCTGGGTTCAGCTTCCTCACACCAAACAAACTGCAAAACTAAATTTCCCTCGTAATTGCACTCTTTTTTGCATCTGCTTCTTAAGGCTGCACTTTTATTGCAGCCATCAGCCTCCAGAGCCAGACATCAGCCAGCAAGATACCAATACCCATGGAAAGAATGCGGGCTTGATATGAAGACAGATGTGGGCAATCACCACACTGCTAGTTACTTGCTGTGTAACTGTCAGCAAGTTATTTTATACACTTGAGGCTCAATTTCCTCTTGTAGAAAATGGGGTAATAAAAATTGCTTTATATGGTTTATATGACAAATCAGGTTAATGTATAAAAAAAAGAGCCTAATATGGCTCCTATCCAAAGAACATACTAAATAAAAGCTTATTTTTCCCTGGTTGCTTTCTCTACCTTCAAAGGACTTAATCCTTACTCATGGGATGAATTATCTCATTACTCCTCATTACATGGCTTTGTTGACCATGTTACAATGACCAGTAACCATACTGCATGGTCATGATGGGAGAGTTCACATTTCTTTACTCTCTCTAATGTTCAAATCTTAGTGCTCAGATATCATGAAAGTATTTACCCTGAAGAGCTGCTAAGCATAGTGCCAAGAGGAAGACCACCTCCCAGAACTTGGGAATCCTACAGGGCCAGATGTGGGCACGTGCCCTGTGCAGTTGCACAGGGGCCTGCATTTAGTATTATGCTCTGCTCTTATGGTCTTGGGATTTTCCACTGTTCTTGAACAAGGGAGGGACTTGACGTTTTTATTTTGTACTAGGTCTCACATATTATGTAGCACATCCTGGGACCCCAGTTGCGTGTGTGTGTGTGTGTGTGTGTGTGTGTGTGTGTGTGTGTATGCTTTAAATCCTCTTGAAAATATTCATCAGCAGCCCTGGGGAAAAGGACAGAATGGCAGCACTTAACATACAATAACTGGCTGATGTTTGAAAGGGAAGAGAACACTCTGGGGCAGATTTAAATCTTTTAGCTATTCCTTTCCTCTCATGTGTGGGTACATTTTCATTCTTATTTTCTCTTTATCTCAAAGGGGGAGATAGTATCGTTAATTCTTAAAGAATTTTTCAATAGGATACTTGGATTGTATGATAATCTAAAGGATATATTAATCTAAATCAGTATGCCAAAAGAAATCTAATAATCTAAAGGATATATATGTTTATATATATAAATATATGTTTATATATGTATATATTGATCTAAATCAGTACATTAAAAAGAAACCTTCATAGTTTCTACAAATTGAAATATTTCAAGAGTCCAAAGCATAAGTAAATAGGAAAGTAATGGACGTATATAAATGGCTCAATATGTGTACATTACAATATTCAGGGCCTCATAGAACACACTGGTAATGAGCAAGAGTAGCTCTTGTATTCAGGCACTGGAAGCACTTAGAAGTGGGGTAGAAGGAGGAAAGGCAGAAATACTAGACTGGAGATGTGTTTACAAAAAAGAAAATACCAATTAAATCCACCGTATTAAGTTGCAAATCATTTTCTCTGATTCTTCTTCTTGAGTAATTTTGTTTGCCAAATACTTGCTATGTGCAAGGTCTGCTGGAATACAAAAGATGAGTAAAACATTGACTTTACCAGAAAAGTCATCAGGATTTAACAGATTAAAGATCTTGAAAAAAATAATAGAAAGACTTAGAAAAGAAACTCCACTAGAACCTTGCTGCCTGTTTTAGAGATAATGTACTAGAACCTTTATATTGTAGTATTTGGCACTTGACTAAGTAAGCCAATTAGAAGGGGTATAAAATGGCCTGGCTTTATATGCTAATTCTGTACTCATTACTGCATCATACATCAAGCCACTGCAGGAAACCACATTAAGAATACTAGGCAAAGTTCCAGGGAAGTTATTTAACACATTCTTGTAAAAAGTAAATTTGCTCATTCAGTAAAATCGTGTGATATTATGTTGTTAACATTATAAAGCACAGTATTATCTATGCTACTTAATAGCATATTCTAGAAAAAATTATCAGATGGTAAGAAAAATACATCCTTTATTATTATAAGTGTACATCAATATTACAGAGCACCTACCACATGTCTGGCACAATGCTAAATAGTTGACCTTTGAACAGCATAGGTTTCAACTGAGTGGGTCCACTTATATGCAGAATTTTTAGAGTACAGTCCTGTGAATGTATTTTCTCTTCCTTAGGATTTCCTTAATAACATTTTCTTTTCTCTAGCTTACTTTATTGTAAGAACACACTATAAATACATATAACATACAAAATATGTGTTAATCAGCTATCTCATAGGTAAGGCTTCTGGTCAACAGTAGGCTATTTAATAGTTAAAGGCTTTGTGGAGTCAAAAGTTATATGTGGGTTTTCAGCTGCGTAGTGGTTCAGCGCACTGTTCAAGGGTCAATCATGCTCCATATTCATTATATCATTTATCCTTATAACAAGTTCCTGAAGTAGATATTATCTTAGCCAGCATAGCGGAGGAGAAAGCAAGGCAAAATAAACAGATCAAGGTCATTGCCTTGGCAGAAGAAGGACTTGAATTCTTAATCATTATGCTTACCATCTCTTATTTCAATCCTTAAGTTTCAACTTGTTTTTGATCAATTTCATTTTGTATTGCTTAAAACCTAGGCCTGTATTAAATGGATGTTATAAAGCACATTTAAACTACATAGTATAATGAAATATAAGCCACTCTTGCAAGCCTTCTTGCAATTTAGAATGCCGTTTAGATAAGGAGTAGTAGATTTGAGACTGTGAAAGGCACAGCTCGCTGGGAAAATTTAAAGTCATTTTAGCAGCAAAAGAACAACTCTATTCTAGCTAGAAGATGACTTGGTAATCACTTATATTAAGGGTATTCTTCTGCTATTTTTTGCAATATTCATACCAAAGAATTTTAAATTCTATTCATCTTTAATTCTAAAAACAGAAAGAAAAATTTGAACCTAAAATTAAAGCCTAGTAAATAACATGCCTTTAATAAAGCTAAAGGGAACATAAGATGGCAATGAGTATTATAACTGACCCTGTGGATTCTGTTATAAGCTACCCAAGATGGTGACAAAAAATTAGTGACTAAATAGCAGGTGACAAACAAGGCTAGCTATAACTCAAGAACCTTTTAAAACAAAAGAGGGTCATGGCTAGAATCAGTGGTACTGTGACTTTTTTTTTCCCTCAGTAGTTCATATTAATTTCAGTTATGATTTAATATAATAGAACATATTCTCGGAATGAAATGGAAAGTTTTCATATTCTGTTCTATATACATAATATATTTTATATATATTTGCATATATGTGTATGGCTAGTTCACCTAACACTAAAAGTTCTAAAGGGAAAAAAGATCCAAGCACGTTTAGTATAAGACAAATGGTTTTAAAACAGTTGTAAAAGCAACATTTTAGGGGGTGCCTGGGTGGCTCAGTTGGTTAAGGGTCTGCATTAGGCTTAGGTCGTGGTCACAGGGTCTGGGATAGAGCCCCGCATCTGGCTCCCTGCTCAGTGGGGAGTCTGCTTCTCCCTCTCCCTCTCCTCCTGCTCATGTGAGCTCTCTCTCTCTCGCACACTCTCTCTCTCAAATAAATAAATAAAATCTTTTAAAAAAGCAACATTTTAGTCTCTGTGGAGATTCAAAAAACAGCAACCTTATATTAATTATATTAATATATAATACATTATATATTAATAACAGCATTATTTCATTATCACCAGCTTTATCAAGTACTTATTAATATGTG